GCCAGGCAATCCCCACGGATTCAAAGATTCACTTCAGTTACAATGAGCTGGCTAATTTGACTAGAACAACCCCTGGGACCCTGCCACGTGTTAGTTCAGTTAGTTAGTATACTGACGATTAGATTTGACTAAGTACTGTATCAATATCACCACGGTTGCAATCAGTCCTAGGTCCTAGTCAATGATTAAGGGAGCATACTCAGTCAAGTAGTTAATAATGAATGAATGAGCTTGTCTAGTGGTGCCCTGGCCCTGGCCCTGGGACCCTGGTCCGACCCTGACTGACAGACTGACCATGGACCCTGACCCTGCTGCTTGAGCGCCGCCTGACTGTCTGACAGAGTCTGAGAGCCATGAAATATAATCAAAACAAAGGTGCTTGTTGGAACCATTCTGTTCTTTTGGAAATCAGGTACTTTTCGGGCTGAATGAGGCACATTATGCAGGATGTATTATAAGTATTATAATTGTGTGCTTGGAACTCACCTGTTACTATTAGCTCTCGACGACATGATTCTTATTGTTTCTAACTAGATTAAGACTAATGACTAATAGAGGGGTGACGGCGTCATGGCTTCCATTATTACTATTAGGGTCCACAGCCACACTGATTCAGAATCATATTGTCACTCAACTTGTAGTTGTAATGGATGTCTGACTCTGGGGCCTTACAATCAAGAGCCTCTCATGTTGCGTTGGCTGACTGAGTCTGATTTGAACTGAATTCTGAATCCTGCTTCATTCCAGGTAATCCACTGATTCATTGCCAGTAATTGCCCTGACCAATACGACGACCTTTGCAGTCATCATCCATTTAGTAGTGATAGGGCGTGCCTGCCTGTTCAAGTTCAATTCAATGGTTCAGGCTACACTTAACTAAAGCCTTACCCAATCATCTCTCCAAACACCAGGCAGGCCATGAATGAAAAGGTCCAGAGGCTACTCATCCCTTGAATTGGCGGTAGCCTATCTGCCTGAGGAACTTGGGCGATAGGAGCGAGCTGGATCCAGCTGGCATCATCCCTGTGCGCACTCGGAAGACGATTCAGGGCATGCTTGTCTTTAGGCTGCATTACTTCAAAAATAAGTAATTCAATTATTCAATTCAGTGATTCAGGTCTCTGTGTCGCATGGTGAACACAAGTCAGCTTCAAGACCCAAATTTGGGTCGAAGGAAAGTTCGTAGAGCTGCTAGCAGAGCCTTTTCCATATAGGGTCGGATGATAGGCAAATGGGATTCGATTAATAGACAGACAGAGTCTGCTCAACTTGGAATTGTCATTTAGTCAGTGGTGAGTCTGACCGATGAATTATGAATTGGTCTGAGTGTTATTGGGTTTAGGGATTAGGGTTTAATGTGTAAGGTCAGGTTGAAGGGTCTAGGGCTATAATCCGTATGCAAGTATTGTGGCTTCGGTCTCCCCATTTTAATCTTTCTACTACTGTATTACCAGCCACTGACTGGAGGATCTGCTGTGTGGTGCTAATTAAGGCATGCTTGCCACGTTATCACTAACATGTATAGTTTGTTATGAATGAAGGATTGGTTTTGATTCCTTGAGCCTCCTGACCTGACTGACAATGTTCATTCAACTAGAAGCCTAACAGGAGACTAGAGTAGGGACAAATAGTACAGACCTATCATGATTCGTGTGTAAACTGATGGTTCTAGTGACGGACAAAGAATGGACAAAGCCGCTCATCATAAATCAAGCCTGGCAAAAAAAAAAAGAAGAGATGCACAGCCAACAGTGACACTTATATTCTGCAGGAATATCTGGCCACCTGTTACCGTCACTCACCCTGGGACCCCAGGACCTAAGTACTAAGTTTATGTAAGGCCGTTGACTTTGTAACATTGGCTGTTTGCTGCTTAACTTGCCATGGCTAAATCCATCCCATCATCAGTAGTAACGTGATACCGGACCAGTGACCATTGCATAGCAAGCCCTGACTCTGACTACATCTCTTAAGTCACTGCAAAATGGCATGATTATACTTTCTCCAATCAGCTACTGACTTTAATAGTGGCCTGAGCAGGTGCTCGCGCAAGCTTTGAATGGCAGCCTCGACTTAATCTGGGGGAGAGGATTGTTGGCATTGAGTCTTGCTGGCACGTGACACTTCAGGGCTCAGCAGTCTGCCACTCTGTCTGAAGTCATCAATGGGCCTCAGTGACTCAGTGAGGGCTGGTTAGAAAGAAAGTTGTCGTCCAGGTCACGTCCTCGGGTATTGGAGTTTTTAAAAGTTGCGTAGTTAGTAATTAGTAACCAATCCAGGTTCAGAAAACCATCCGGCAGCACAGGGCACAACAAGGGCAGGGCTTGTGAGGGGCCTTACTAGGCTGAGGTCAGTGTTAGGCCTCTGACTCTGAGCAAGCAACTTTGATGTCAAAAGCTGTAAGTAAGCCTGTGCTGCCAAGTCTATCCCTCCTCCTCCTCCTCCTACTACTACTACTACTACTACTTATGCATTATGTACTGTGAGTTACTTGACAAATTCAGTTGATTGACTATCTAATCTATGCTGGTGACTGACAGACAGTTAGTCAGTAACTCCGGACCCCCAGGTCCTCAGGTCATTGACAGACAGTCGATTGATAACATTTCATCATTTTTGGGATCATGCCAAAATTAAAGCTCTGAATGACCCTGTAATACCAAAACTAAGTGCCCTGAATGACCCGTAACACTGATCAGACTTAGTTTTGTTAATTTAGTAATTATTTGTAATCAGGAAGCCTGCCAAACGACTGCTGCCTTTACAAAGTGTGAATGAAGCCCTTCCTGAACCAGAACTTGCCCTCGTGCCTCGTGACGTTCTCCAGCGTCCGCTGCTCACAGTGGCATCCTGACTGGCAAATCGTTGGAGTAGACCTTCCACTTACGTTACTGAAGACTCACTCGTTACGTTCATCGTTGAATCGTAATTAATGTAACCGGATGATGTGCTTTTCCCCGGAGCAAGTAATAGTTTATAATGGTAATTATGATGTTGTTGTCAGAGGAAGCAGCAGTCAACAAAGGCAGCGGACGAAGAGACGCTTCCGTTTAAGACACTATTTGTCTTAAATCACGAACTGGGCCTGCGACTGATGATTGAACCTGAAGCCTGTCACAGTCAATGGAATGATTGTCGGAACAGTCTACGTCGGTGCGGATTGCAACATGCACTCCTCCTTGCGGCCACCTTATGTAATTGCGCGCATGGCCCATTTACTGGTGGCCGCAACCAGATGTCACTGCAAGAAGCAGCGGAAAGCTTGACAAGGATGTCGCCAACAGCTTTTGCTGACATGGTGGACTTGATGGCAGAGGACCAAGGCTGCGACCCTGAGGATTCCGAGAAGCTACCCCAGAATCCTCTTGACATTCCACTCCAGCCCTGCTTGAAGAACCTCCCGCCTTACGTGGGCACCCCAGTCAGTGGATAGCAGGCTCAATCACTAGAACCGGCAGTATTGACAATGTGAGTGGCTAGTGTCATTGATTGATTCAGTCACAGACATTCTCTGTAACTAATATTCTATTCAGTGTTTTAGAATTTCAAATGAATGGCATCCAAAAGCACACCCATTGCCCAACCCACAGTCCTGCTACGTGTTGCCTAGGTGAAAACCAAGTCTTGGTTTGGTGCCGTCGATGCGATGGACTACCTTTGTGACAACTGGACCCTGTTGTCAACGGTCCTGGACCACGCGCTGCAGTATATCGAGCCCTTTCCTGGGCAGTCTTATGATGGTCTTGTAGATGGATGTATGTTTTTTCTGGGCTGGGGCTGTAGAGGGTCAGGCTATGAATCCTAGTACCGGGGATCACTTAGCTGACTAAGTTTGTTGAATGAAGATTCGGGGTGAAGTTCAACCCATGGTTCGTTCTGTCTGAATGGTGCCAGCCTGGTTGACTTATTCTTATTGATAAATTCAGTGCACCCACTCACTCACTGTGCCAGCACATTCCGTCCCATCATCTGAATTGAATCCTTAGGCCTTAGGTCCTTTAACCTTTTTTACTACCGTAAGTAGAGTTGTTATTCTTATTATTAAAACTGAATTGAATCATGTCATCATACCCTCGATCCTGTCTAAACTTGAATCCCCTCCTGACCAATGACCAACCGCCCCGGCAAGGTTAAATCCCCTACATTGCTTTAAGCATTATTCCAATCCTGATTGAAATTGAAATAGTTCACCACCCTAATTTGTCAAGCCTTGAGCTACCGTATTATCATCCAAAGCCGATCCGGAAGTCTCTGCAGGCAGGCAAGCAGGGGTTACTAGAAATAAGGTGCGACTCAAGTGAACGTAGTTGGGCTGGATAATTAGGTCTAGGGTTCAGGTTTGAGTTGGTTACGTTATATTATGGACATTGGTTAAGTTGGGCATTGATTGGGGGGCTCGGCCGGCTGCGATAAAGATGATGTAATGGTTGGGGCACAGGGATAGCTTATGTTTCCACAATGAATATCATTATCATTTGTCATTGAGTCCATGGGTAATTTATTATATGCCTGTAAGCCGTAACACCTCAGACAGCAATAGCGATTTATCCCGCCATTCATGATCCAATAATAGATAATGAGTTTGGGCTCCCGGTCCCCATTATTAGTCAACCGCTCAAGAAGTTTGCTTTAGGCTTTGAGGCTTTGACTTACTTACTTATCAGATCAAGAGACCTCAGTAGGTTTCAGTGCAGGGCTGACTCACAACCACACCCAATCCGAAATCCCCTTTTTTACCTGATTATGTTTATGAACCCATATTTATATTATATTGTAACCTTAATTCATCTAAATAATTACTCCTCATATCCCACATCAATCAAGGCCAGTGACCCAGCATTGCCAATTTAATTGCTTCAGTCATACCCGTACTTCATCTTGTCAACATTCGTATCATTGGTAGATTCAACTTATTATTGGAGGCAAACACAAGCCCTAAGCCCTATAACCCCAAGTTCGAAGCTCGTAAAGCCAACCCCCTAACTGTAGTCTCGGCCCAGGATGACACGGAGGATCAGCAGCCCGGTGGCTCTGATGCAGAAGCTGCTGAAGGCGATCCTGACAATGACAATGAGGATGAAGAACAGGAACATGCTGCAAGGGATGGCGGTGGCAGGGAAGGTGCAGCAGGAGACCAAGCACGTCCGAAGACCAAGACCGAACTGCAGAAGCTACGCGAAAGCTTCCAGAACACCTTGCACTTGTGTGGGCATTTCTACGCAGATCGAATATTGCAGAGAGAGATGCGCATGGTCAGCATAGCCTGCAGGCCTCTGAGGATGTCATACAGCGAGACGCTGAAGCTCCAGGGCAGCCAGGTGCAAACCTGCGTTACTGAATTTAGATTCAGGTCTGCTGGTTTCTTGGTTTTTTGATGTCGTGTTTGAATGTCCAGTGGCCAGGGAAGTTCTGTGCGTTGAATGGCCCTGACATATCTGATTCTTTGATCACCTTTGTCCGTGTTTCTGTTATCTCTGTTGACTAGGTAGCTTCATTTGCCGCATTCATTCAGAGTACAGCGGAATTTAGGGTTTATTTAGGGGTTAGGGATTAAAGTTCTGTAGGGGTTTAGTATAGATGATCAGGGCTCTTCTTCTTAGATTCTTGTCTTGTCAGAGTTCGTAAGGAGTATCCTACTGTGAATCCATGATGTTTCAATCTGTTCTTTTAGCAGGATAACTGACAAGCCCCCTGGGTCCCGTCCTGTAATGTGGCTGAGCTATACTGCTATAATTGCAATTAAAGTTTGCCCTGACTATAATTGTAAATCACTGACTGGGCTCTGTGAGTTTCCTGTAGTACTGACTGACCAGTCCCAGGGAACCGTAATTCAATGACAAGAATGACAAATGCACCTCATCCCTCCAGCACAATGAACTTACTGTAGTAGTGATATATTTGTGGGGTGTAGTGTAAAGCTTACATTCCAATGCCTGTAACATTTGAAGTATGGAGTTCTCTGCGCCATTAGCCATTGCCTACTTAATTTAATTTTGGAGGCGAATGACTAATTAGTCTGATTTTTTGGGCAGTAGTAATAGTGACCTAGCTGTTGAAATATTAGTATGAGACCATGACTCGTTCATGTCTGACTGATAGTTCATCCCTTCCCTCGGAGCAGAGCCTCTGACTGACCTGGTTGATCTGAACTTCCAGTATCACAAACAACCTGGACCAGTGCCATTATTCACAAGTTGACAATGATTTGTTAGCAAAGCATAGATTCAATAGTCAATAGCTTGAGTTCAGTAATGTAACAAGAATAAAAATGATCTTACCCCGAGAATGGAAACATTATTAAACTTCTAATCCCAGACCAACTCAATTGACTCAAACCTGGAACTCCTGAATGAATCTCCGAATCTGAATTAATCTAGTCTAAGGTTGACTAACTTAACCTATGCCTGATTTCTACTGGAGCAGGCTGGCTCAGTGGAGTTCCGTGCTGCAAGGGCAAGCGGTGCCTGGTTCAAGACGGTGATGGCCACCCTGGGCCTTATCCATGACACGTCTGGGTTGGAGCGGTTCGGTGTGACAGTTTCAGCTTCGGCGGCTGCTGTTGCTGACAACGACAATCTCCAGACGGAGAGTTGGTTCATGGAGGAGTGTGATCTCGTGGCTACGTTCTGGAAACTTCTGGTGGAGTTGGCATCTTCGAGATGCTGGTCGCAAGTGCAGTTCAGCACGCTCCTGCCCAGTGCACTGGCTGCAGTGCTGCATGAGGACAATGGTCCAGGAAGTCTCGCGCAACATCTGTTGCTTCAGCTGCGGGATGTTTGGAATGCTGTGGTCAAAGCAGAACAGGCATCATCAACTGACTCCAGAATGCCGCCCAGTGCGAAGGCTGAGCTGAAGCGTGTTCTGCTGGATCTTGGTTGGAACCGGGTTCAAGTTTCCAGAGAAGCAATGCTGGAGTGTGCAGCAGCTGGCTGGCAAGCTTCACACCCACAGGTTCAAGCCCAAGCAACGGCATTGTTTGCGGGACCAGCGCAAACGAAGCAGCTTGAAGACCTTTTCGCGCATTTGGCGTCGGTAGCCCGGGCAAGCAGTTTGCCAGTTGCAATGAACAAGCCGCACGGCGCAGGAATTATTAGAATGGCTGCCACATGTTTAGGGTTTAAGGGGGGCCGGTGGTGATGGTGGTGGTGGTGGTGGTGGTGGTGGTGGTGGTGAATCATTGACGATGAACGATGACAATGACAATGTGACTCCATCAAGTTGACATGACGCACTTGGTTCATTATTCAACAATGATCGACAGTCATGATGAGTGAGAGATGCCTTAATTTAATGCTCGAAATCGAAATGCTATGTTGGGCAATGACTTAAAGACACAGCTGTAGGAAGCAATGATAACTAAGTAGACAACTCATGACATGAATGATGGGAGTGGGTGTTATAATTCTGTGGTAGCCAGATTGATAGGCATCCCAGGAACACGGCTCAGATCTTTTTGTTTCCTTTTAAAACTTTTATCCTACTTACACATCACATTATCATTAGACACTCAATACTCTATCGGTAAGACTATTACGGTAACCTGGCCCAGGGTCCCAGGGTGAATTTTGTAATCCCTGAATCCCGGAATCCCGGCTTACATGACTAAATTCTAAGTCGACTGTCCAATCAATCCGTAATTTTAGCAGCGGTGACAATGTCATTCATTATTTAACAAAAGCCTAAACCCTAATACTAATCCCCAAACCCTAAGCCTTTAAGCCCCCTTAGTAGCCCTGGCCCTGAGGCCCCTGACTAACCGCCCTAAACTTAAACCTTCTTACGTCACAGCACTCACTAAGTTTAAATCCCTATCATCCTCATAATGCCCTTTTGTCCCAACCCAAAATATGGCTGTCAACGGTCCTGGGAGCTCATCAACGCGCCATAGTAGATGATCCACCTTAGTCTTATTAGTGGGAGGGAGGTTGAGAGTATTGAGGCTTAGAGAAGGACTATACGGGGATTATCATTATTACGATTATTAGACTATATTATATATAGGGCCTGTGTTATATAGTTCACTACATCCCCCTACTTAACCGTATCCCAAGGTAGGTTTAGAGTTCTCAAAATAGGCGTCGTTGCGTTGCTTGATTCACATTGATTGGAGTCAGAGTGAGCAGGGAGACACCACAGTCACAGGTTCGCTGGAACTTCAAGGTATAAGGATAGAGGGTTAGGGTTTAGGGCTTATTAGTATTCGCATTAACTGAATGTTCTCAAATAGCTGATAAATGGACGGTTGACACCACACAGCCTGCCCTACCAGGAGTCAGTCACTGGAGTCAGTGAGTCACTAGTGACTAGTCATTGTAATCATAATCATTAGTCATCATTGAACTACTATTCAAGAATCGGTTGATCTTTCAGAATCATCTGTGAGAGAGCTGAACTTATTGAGGGTTATGAGTAGCCCTGTCTGTCTCAATGATTACGTTGTTGTTGGCCTGGCGTATTATTACATTTACTTCTCTTTTCAAAGCCCGACCTGACCAGGGTGCCTGAAATCATGGTCATGGTGACCACCAGCAGCTAGCTTAGCTAACCAGTAACCAGGCCCCTTTGCCCTAACCTGACACAGGCCCCACCCATCAAGACCCAGCCTCTTTCAGTGAGTCATACCCCAGCAGATAAGTAAGCCTGATTCTGACATCAATGGAACATGGCTCAACTCTTCTACTTCCAAGCTCAGGTGGACGCGCTACTTTTACTGCACAACCCTTGAACGGGGCACAGAGTGGCCCATGCTGCAGACTACACTTGCAGACCATGCTGAGCATGAACGATTCAAGAGGCAGAATGACCCCCTGCTGCAAGGAATGCGTGGGAAAGCATTCAAAAGCATCAACACTAGGGGTATGGACCCCGAAGTTCGCAAAGGCTTGGTGCACATCCGGATGGACACTGCTAAGAAAGCAGGCACTGCCTCCAACCAAGCTGCAGCAGCAGCAACGAGTTGGATCGCCCAGGCCGCGGCAGGTGGCTTCCAGGAAGTCCAGTCCATCTGGGCAGGCAGGGCGGGGCGTACTAAAAATGGTTTATTAATTAATGCAGGTCAGCATTCTGACAACACTGTTCAAGAGTGAGCCAGGTTCTGATAGTTTCGTAACTACAGTTCTTAGTCTTTGCTTATTAAATTAAGTGTAGCCAGGGGAAGGGTCGCGGTTCATCGAGTCAATGAATCAAGCACGACATGAGGGCCCAGGCTTGCTTTAAATCACTTCGTCACATTTATTGTCCCTTATCTTAATTTACCGTATTAGCTGAAAGGTAATACGGTAAATTAAAAAGGAATAGGAATTTCTGGGGAATCACAGGCTTGCTTAACCTACGCTTAGTAGTAGACTCCCGGTTAAATGATTACTGATTAAAGTACGGGCCTCACACAGTGACACTTTTATTTACATGAAATTGGATCATGGAATCCTCATGTGACAGACAACCACAGGCTTGACAGGTCCTTGACTTGAGTCACCTGAGCGTGATACCGTAATACCCCGTAAATAGTAAAAATACTACAATTTCAACCGTTCAATTAATAATAATAAATACCCTGACCCCTGCCTGATGATAAAGCTCCTGTACTGAAATTCCTGAACTGTGCCCCCCCAAGCTCTATCCAAAGTTACTGATTATGCCTATAACTACTCCGCTGAAGGTGTGTTTCTTATGAAAGGAGGCGTCTTCGTGAACTCTGAGGATTCCGGCCGCGTGATCCTGAGCCTAGGATTCCGTAAGTACTCGGCACTCGCGATCAAGCTTCAGGAGCACAAGTCCATGATTGACAAGTCAACTGTAGCCTGGTATTGATTATTACTTTGATTCAGTCAGTCAGTGACTTGGGATTCGAGCCGGCCTTAATAATAGTCTAGTAGCTAACTACTAGTTACTAAAGTCAAAGACTTAAATGGACCAATCAATGATAACAATTGTAATGCCAATAGTGTAGTACTAGTGTTTAAATTTATAATTTAACGCTGCAGGCTGATAATCTTTGACTGATTCTCGGTCTCGGACTGACTGACTGACAGAGTCAGACTGGGTCCTGGGTCCTGGGTACTGTCAGATGATAATGATGCTAGTTTTAATTTTATTTTAGCCGCCTCAACTTGGTCCCATAACTCCTTACTTTGTTTACTTTTTTTTTATGAATAATTAGTAATTAATAACGATCTATTAGACTAAATGAAAACGGTTACCAAGACTTACTTCACTGTGGACGATGATGATCGCAGCAGGGTGCCCATGTGGGTATGGAACAGCAAACTGGTGGATTCTGAGTGGAAGCGCTACATGGTCAAGGTGGCACACCCCCTTGAAGTTCCTGCAGACCTCCGCGGATATGGCATTGTTCTTCAGAGAATCGGCCCAGCAGAGAACATTGTGAAGGGGGCTTTGCAGTCCGGCATCTTTCTCAGCAAGGCACAGCTTCAGAAGCTCCAGACGGAGTACAAGTTCGAGCTTCCAGGCAAGGGCTGCGGCAGCGGCAAAGGCGGCAACCTGGTAAAACTTGACTATGCAGACCGCCTCCTTACCTATATGTTCGGGGCTGAGCTGCCGCAACTCGAGCGGAAGCGCATGCTGAGCTTCCTTCTCGGCAAAGCATGGAACCGTTTAGGCAAGGGCGCCAAGCATGCCCAGGAGATACTTCAAGCCTTCAAAAGCCTTGATCCTCAGGATCAACCCACGTTCACAGAGTTGGCCGCCGTCGCGGCTGATGAAGAGAAGCTGACCAATGTCCGCAGCAAACGGGTTGACATCAAGGCTGTGCATGCTAGCCCAGCACACCTGACATCGAAGGAGCTGGCAGGGCTGCTGCCACAAGGAAAGGGCTTCACCTGCCGTTTCAACCGACACCCTGTGGAGCAGAGGTATCAAGTCTTCGTCTTCCATGCTGCTACTGGAATCTCAGCAGGATTTATTAAATTATTACCAGCCAGCAGCTAACCAGGGCCCATTATCCATTATGAAGCTGAATGGTTTTCGGTTCCGTAATAATTATGTAGTACTTGATCGTTTACCGTTTGTAAGTATGTAGTAGCCACTTACTTAGGGACAGGCCGGGCTAAGGGCCGGGCCCGGCTTAGCTTCGTCTAACAATTTGAAATTTTATAACAACATGCGTAGGATAGGGTCCAGGGTTTATTGCTTGTGAATTCTCAGAAACTTTGATTGGACTTCATTTGACACTACAGTTACAGTAGTAGAATATAATACTTAAATAAATAAAATACAACTACGGGACTGGCGGTATTATTATTTTAATATAGTTTTTAAATTAATGACATAATATTTAAAATTCATTAATATTAAATATTAACTTAACGCCGTTAACCCTAAACCCTGAACCCTAAACCCTAAGCCTCAGACGTCAAACTAAGGTAGCTCCGAGTCCCATGCTGCCAAGTGGCAAGGCATCCGCAGAATGCGCACAGAGGTTGAGGCCTTACTGGAGTGCGTGGAGTGGTGCTGGGAGTATGTGAAGGCCAAGTACGAGCTCACTGATGGCATGACCCAGCCCCTGGTCAAGTACAAGCTAACAGGTAGGGCTCAAATCAAGGGTCTAGGGAGTGCTTAGTAGGGTTTAGGGCTTAACAAATTAGGCTGTAACCTCTCAAACTCACTGATGCGTGCATCAGGGGCCGTCCTGAGGTCCGAACTAGTCTTAGACATCCTAAAGTATGCGAAAGTCTAAGCCTTGGGCCTGTTTAGAAGGGGCTCTGCAGTGGATGATCCGGATGAGCTGGATTCAAGTGAATCAGGGTCTCTATCTGTTATCTCTGTCTGTCTAATAAAGGCCTGTATAATTTGAACAAATTACCACAGTTTTTTCAGTGGGTTATTCTTATTATAAGGCCGACGTTGGCAGATTGTCAGCGCGTGGTGGCCAACTTTGACAAGAATACAGGGTGCAAGACTCCCCCTCATGCTGCTGACCCGGACTCCCCTGTGCCAAAGACTTGGAGTGAGAAGCGCAAGCAAGAATCCCAAGCCATGAGACCTGAACCTGTAGTCCCGAAGCATGCATGCCCCTCTCCTGCAGCACCAGCTGCAGCTGCAGCTGATCTGAAAATTTCGAAGCCCCCCAAAGCTAAAGCCGCAGCGAAGCCTGCAGCTAAGCCTGCTGATTCTGGGTTGGAGTCTGAGACTCCGGCCAAAGGCAAGGGCAGGGGTCGGGGACGAGGTAGGCCAAAGTCAACGGCAGAGCCAAAGGCCGAGCCAAAACGTGGCCGCAAGAGGCGTCGAGCGGATGATGATTCCCAGTCCGAGTGACAATGAGCAGGGTGCTTGCAATGAGAAAATGGGATTCCGTCATTTCAGTTCTGTCAGTCGTGAGGCAAGTAGACTCCGAAGGCTGGTCTGAGGAACGGTTTAGGGTTTAGGGAGGGTCGGACAGGAGTCTAAATTGTAAGTTTCAGGGTTTAGGATTAGGAGTTGGGGTTCAGGGTTTAGTAATTAGGGAGGTTTGGAATCTTATTGTAAGGCTCAGGTTTTAGGGTTTGGGGTTTAAAGGATTTTGGGAGGGTTGGCCCAATGGCCCAAGGCTTCTATTAATAAGGATCCAAAGGCCTCAAAGCTGCCCCCCCCCAGCTACCCACTCAAGGATCTTCGAGGAACTGGGTCACACCCAGTGGGGGCACACCAACCTCCCCTGAGGGTTTAGGGAGTGGGTCAGGAATTGCTATAAAGGGTGTAGGGTTTAGGGATTACGGGTTAAAATAGAAAGGGCGAGAAATCCAAGGTTTCAGTAGCGCTTGGGGACAAAGGCCTAAACCCCACACCCTAGCATAGCCGTATAGCTCATGGACTGTAAGCTGAACCCCTGACGAAACCCATCCGTGCGTTTATGGGTGTGAAGGGACCTTGTTCCCTTCCTATAGTTTAACAGTGCTAGATGCTAGGGTAGCAAGCAAGAGTCGGTCCAAGTCTGAAGAGACGTCCCCTAATTGCAAAAACATGCGAAGGAAAACTAATTAGCCAGCAGCTGAGCTCAGCAAAAAGCGCTGTATAAGCTCCCGACCCGAGGGGCAATCTATGGACCCGCCGGTGGAAGACAAATCAGTGAGCCCCTGCTCAAAAGCATTGGCAGCTGCTAGCGGCTCCAATTCAGGAGCATGACGGCTGATCAACGGAAGGATTAGCTGAGAAAACTCTGGGGGCTCGCTACTTATTAGTGAGGCCAAGCACCCGTGGTCAAGCGGTGCAACCTTTCTCAGTGGTCCATGCAAACGCGTTGCAGGGATCCTCGCGTTGCCAGCCTCAGCCTGCACGATCTTCACAAACTCAGGTGCTGGCTCACACAGCAGATGAAGCAGGCAGCTCGTGGTGCTGTGAGCCAAATGCCGGGTAAGTCTGGC